GATCAACCTATTCACCAAAGCATCTAAATGCAGGACAAGAAACAATGGGTGGAAACTAATCAAAGAGAGAACTAACCAGAGCTTAGGAGAAATTTCCTGACAATTAAATAATTAATTAGTGGAACAACTTGCTTCCAGAAATTGTGAATGCTGCAACACTGGAGGTTTTTAAGAGATTGGACAATCATTTGTCTGAAATAGTACAGGACCATGATGGCAAACCCTATGGCACACGAGCCATCACCTCAACTCAGTTCCGCTGTGCATGCACACACGCCTCCCACCAGCCAGCTGGTCTTTGGGTCTCTGCCACGCATGCACAGGGCGTACACACAGGAATAGTACGTTCAGGTTAGGGCAGACTGCATGCACGAGAGTTGGGGTGCATGTGTGGGGGTCTCGCATGTGCAGGGTTGGGGATCATGCATGTATCCGCTGGACATGCGCATGCACAGGAGTGCACGTGCGTTGCATTTTGGGGATGTCCATGTGTGCACGCTTTGGGCACTTGATGCCGAAAAGATTAGCTATCACTGGTATAGGATTTCTTGCTTGAGCAGGGGATTGGATTCACTAGGAACCCTTCCAATCTTGTTATTCTGTTACAAATAGTTTTTCTTTAGATGTTAATAAATTACCATAGGAGCCAAAGTCAGTCATTGCCTTTTGCAACCTCCTGACAAGCAGTCAATGGGCAAGCCCGATTCATTTAACAACCACGTTACTAAAGTAACAACTGTAGTGATTCACTTAACAATGGTGGTGAGAAAGGTCATAAAATGGGGCAAAATTCAATTAACGCACGACTCGCTTAACAATAGAAATTTTGGGCTCAATTGTGGTCATAAGGATTGCCTATAGTGGGCACTTGAGACCAACTTCCAGCAGAGATAGTGAGTCAATCATCAAGTAACTGAGTTTAAACATGCTTGGGATAAACACATGTCCAAGTTTTGACAAAAATTAAAAATAATAACATTAATAATAATTAAACATAATTATTTAAAAAGAAAACAAAAAGTCAAAGGGAAGACTCAGTGGAGGTGAGGTGTGTCTCTGCCATGAGTTTTCTATGTTTCTATGTTAGTTCCAGATGAGAATTTAAACTACAGGCACTAACCACTGAAGATATTGTATAGCATGGCTGAGAGCAATCAAAGAAAAAACAACTGCAATTACAGCTTCAGGACAGGCGACTATTTCAATTGCCCAGAAAAGACACTTCCACCAGGCTGATTTAAGGCAAGTTTCCCCTCCCTTTCTATTAACAGAATGCTAATGTGGGCTTGCTGTAAAACAATTATTCCTAAGCAGATGTCTTCAAAGGATGACTGCAATGTGAAGCTATTGAGAGTACATCAAGAGTCTTAGTTTCATAACCTGTGACTTGCACTGGAATAATTTATTTTTAGGTTACCAATGTCCGGATGTATATATTATCACCAGCAACTGTTCAGGGAATGACTATAGTTAGAAACATCATAATCTCTTTCATTACTTCATCTGTGCCCCCTTTGTACTCCTACCCAGTTTCCAAGGTTATAAGGCAATCTCATTTCCCATTTTGCTTGTAACAGCCTTTTGTTGCCAAATTACATCTAAGATTTGATTTTTGACATCCTTGGTGTCTCCTGAGTTTATAGTAGAGAAGGTGTGTATTTGTGTATGTGTGAATGCTAAAGCTATTTGGCCTGGATTTTCAAATATTTGAGTGCTTTCTGCAACAACAGTGAATCTTGATTTTTCATTGTTTTACAAATGACGGCCAGCCTGCCATTGACATTGTATATTTTAATATTATAAACTATTTTAATATTTATTTTAATATAAAATAAACTTTGAAATGGAAGAGCAGAAAGGAACATTTTGGACTTGGCACAAAGCACTGTCTCGTAACATGGATTGCATTCATTATCTTCAGACTTCAGTCTGAGACTAGATACTATTTTTGAAGTCTTGTTCGCATGTAAGTTGTCAAATACTTTCCTTGGATTTGGCCTGGATTTTTTAAAAATACAATCATTACTTAATTCCCAAAATGAATAGATTGACTAAACAAATCCATAATATCAGTAATATCAAAAGTGTGGAGAAGGCATTTACCATTTTAAATTGAGAACACAGGCAATATCGCCCCACCTTTCTAAAGTTCTTTGGAAATTTAACCAATTCAATGAATGCCCTAAAATCAGTAAAGTGTCTTTCAGTTTATAATAAGGCTGGAAAATAAAGTCAGTAGGCAAAGATCAGGTGCAAGCAAGATGAAAAGAAAAGAAGCTGAAGAACAAGAAAACCAAAGAATACTCAATCAGGAAGTATCACCTAGAAACAAGGAGAATCAAAGAAGAACTAGAAATAATAAAGCAGCAAATAACAGCTCTAATAGCCAAGAAAATCAGCAAATGCATATTTGCAGAATCTCCTATTTCAGTTGAATTAAAAACATTTCTACCAATTCAGTCAGCACCATGTGAACTGCATGTTTTTTGTTGAATGGTGTATAGTATACCTCCTTACTGCCAAGCACTTTAACAAGGAGATAAAATTGAAGATAACTTGATCTGGCAAAAGCTACCTGATATTGAAAAGAGGCAGCACTAGGCAACTGTGGATAAATTACCTGTTTAACCAACAACTTTCAAATTGTAACTGGTTTGGTAGCTGATGTAGTTCCAACAGCATCTAATTGGAAATAAACTCTTTCCACTTGAGCAGAAAGAGCTGTGAGTACATGTTTTTGTTTATGTAATAGTACCGAAACACATTTTTAGAATCCATCTTTAACATCAGTGAATGGGAAAACAATTTTCTGACATGAAATAAATTAAAATCATATGTAATTTTTTTCCTATAAAGCAAAGACTATTTGAGTGTGTTCTATTGCAAATGTTCTTGTTTTTCAATGCAGATACTATGTGGGCCATATGTTTGATCTGGGAGATAAAGAAAATATTTGGTAAGAAAAGACAATATCAGTGACGGACACAGAGACAAATTCATCAACTGGTTAAGTTTTCTAGAAGCAGAAGATACCTTAAATGATTAATCTATGATATAGAAGTTTAAAGATTTCCAGAGACGCAAGAGATGATAAGAATCCAGTACAGATACTTAAAAAGTTCTTACCTACATTGTTCCTTAGATTTTGATTAATCCATCTCATTTCCTAGATGGATCTGGTATTGTAGGAATTCACCATGGCTTCTGTTTTGTTTCCATATTGTATGCACAGGAAGAAAGCATTCTGTTTTGCTTGGATTCTGCTTGGCTCCCTATGAAATCAGGTAAAGGGTTTTTATGCTGTTCAGAATTTAATCTTCCAGCCTTTTGGAGCAGGACAGAATAAACCCACTTAATCTCTGAATAACAGCCTTATAGAAGACAGCTATCCTTTCTCTTCAGTTTTCTCTGTTGGGATAAATAATTTTTTCCATTATTCTTTCTAAGGTTAATTTCCAGGCTTTTCTTTTTCCAGCCGTCTCAGCACATGATTCATAATTGCCTTGGAGTTGGACAGTACTGTAGCTAAACCTAATAAAATAATTATCCATTTTGTCAATATCAGTTGAAGAAAAACACATTGCTTGAAATCTGATTCTGATTCTTTGGACTCTTGTCAGCCTAGGCTGGCAGTCTTCAAACAAGCTGATAATGAAACATGTGTATTCAAATGAGAGAGAGAGAGAGAGAGAGAGAGAGAGAAAAGAAGAAGAAGAAGAAGAAGAAGAAGAAGAAGAAGAAGAAGAAGAAGAAGAAGAAGAAGAAGAAGAAGAA